GGGGAAGTGGGGAGATGAATATATGCGTTTGAAGCCTGTGTCTAATCAATAACAGGACATCAAAACCCAAGAGAAATAAAAATGAATTAAGAAGTAAAAATTAAGAGAGTAATTGAAAATAGAACAGGTAAAAACAGATTTAAAAAAGCAAAACAAAAACAAAAAACAAAAAAACAAAACAAACAAAAACAAAACAAAAAAAAGGGGGTTGTCGGTGTTCTCCTGGAGTGTGTGTGCTTTTAATGTGATGTCCTTCTGTCTTCGTCCTGTTTTGGAAGCTCAGCTTGTTTTCATAGGCCCTCCGTTGGCGCCCTCTTCTGTGCTGCTCCCAGCACCTGTCAGCAAGCAGATCGCGCCTCCTCCTAACACGAGGTCAGATGCAGCTCTCCTCTGCTGCGGGCGGGGGGGTCACTGCCCCTCCGGATGCCGCAGTCAAATGTTGCAGACTGGCCAGAGTTTAGTTTTTTGTGAACCTTTATTTCATATAATTTGGAGAATGTGCTTGTTAAATCTTCTAGATTTTTATTGAAATCTGAATTAGTTTTCTATTATTGCTATATAACTAATTACTCTATGACTTAGTGGCTAAAACAACAATAAATATTATCTCTCAGCTTCTGTGGATCAGGAATTCAAAGACATCTTAGTTGAGTGTTTCTGGCTTGGAGTCTTTGATGAGGTTGTAATCAAGTTGTCAGCTGGGGCGAGAGTCATCTGAAGGGTTGACTGGGGCTGGGTGATTCTTCTCTAAGATGGTTCACTCACATGGCTGACAGTTGTCTCCTTGTCACATCAACCTTGTGATAGAGCTTCTTGAATATCCTTACAGCATGGATGCTGTTGTATGCTAGAGGAAGTGATCCAGGAGGTAGCAAGGTAGAACCTGTGATGTTATTTATGACCTAGGCTCAGAAGTCATACTCCAGGATTCCTGCAGTATTCTATTGATTGTACAAGAGAGCTCTTCTCAGTGTGAGAGGGAACTATACCAGGAAGCAACTATCGCTGGGGGCCAACCTCAGTTCAACCTCCAGTTGAATTAATGCCCCTCCCATGTGCAAAATAGACTCACTTTTCTCACAAGACTCCACCAAATCCCATCCCACTTCAGAATCAGCCTGAAGTCCCAAATCTCATCTAAATTAGGTCCAGAGGTGATGAGGTTCCATGGATATAGTTCCTTAAGTACAATTCTTTGAGTATAGTTTCTTTTGATATGAAGACTTGTGGACTTAAGAAGGGGATCCATACAATGGCATGTATATTACGAGGCAAGAATCATTGGGGCCAATCTTAAAGGAAGGCTACCACAAAATTTCATTTAACATTTATTGTAAGACAGGTCTGTTGGAGACAAACTCTCAGTTTTTGTTTGAGGAAGTATTTCTCCCTTACTTTTGAAGGATAATTTTGCTGGATAGATTATTCTAAGTTGGTGGTTTCTCTTTCAACACTTTAAATGTATCATGCTACCCTCTTGTTGCCTGCATTGTTTCTGTGGAGAATTCTTATCCTTGTTCCTGTATAGATAAGGTGGTTTTTATTTATAGATTCTTTCAAGATTTTTTGTCTTTATTTTCTGCAGTTTGAGTATGATATACCTAGGTATAGACTTTTCAGAATTTATTGTACTTGGTATTCTCTGAGCTTCTTTAATCTGTGGTTGGTGTTTGTAATAAATTTTGGAAGATTCTCTGCCATTCTTTGTATATTTCTTTTCTTCCTTTCTCTTTTTTCTTCTTCTGCTACATCCATTGAATATATGTTACATTTTCTGTAATTGTCACATAGTTCTTGGGTATTCTATTCCATATCCCCCGCCTCCTTTTTTTTTTCTCTTTGCTTTTCAGTTTGGGAAATTTCTATTGACATATCTTCAAGCTTACTGATTCTTTTCTTGGCCATGTCCAATGTACTGATGAGTCCCTCAAAGACATTCTTCTTTTCTGTTACAGTGGTTTTGATTCTTAGAATTTTATTTTTATTCTTTCTTATGATTTTATGATTTCCCTGTCTTTGCTTGCATTAGTTACCTGTTCTTGCTTATTGTCCACTTTTTGTATTACAGCCCTAGGATATTAATCATAGTTATTGTAAATTCTTTATCTGATGAGTCCAGAATTTCTGCTGTATGTAAGTCTGGTCCTGATGCTTTTTTTTTTTTTGTCTCTTCAGACTGTGTTTGTTTGTTTTTTTTTTTTTGCCTTTATCATGCCTTGTAACTTTTGGTTGATAGCCACAGATTATATGTTGGGTGAAAGGAGATGAGGTAAATAGGCCTTTCTTCTGAGGTTTTATGCTATCTTGCTAGTAATTAGGGTATGTTTACTGCTGTAGATTTAGGTGTCAGAGAAAAAGATTTCCTCTAGTGTCTTTGTTTTTGTCTCCTTGGCTGTCTTGGGCTTCCTTAGATACTCCTTCTTAAATTGAGTTTGAGACTTTTCTTTTATCTGTAATCCTCTGTTATTATACAACAGCCTTATTAGTGTGGTGATAAGTGCAGAGGAAGGGGAAACATCTTATAGTCCTAGAATCACATCTCATTTTTTTGGTGTGCTTGTTCCCTGGGCTGTGACCTTCACAAGTGTTTTACAGATTTTTTTCCTTTGATAAGACAGGAATGAGTAAACAACTCTGGAGTTAGGTGTTTCTATTCCTCCATGTGGAGGGCTAGTAGGGGCTTGAGTTAGGCATTTTTCTCTTCCCACATGGAAGTCTAGGGGAAAAGGAGTTGGGTATTTCTCTTCCTCAAAGTTGGCTAGGCTCTCATAAAACTCCAGCTGGATAGTCTGGTAAAATTGTTTCCCCTGAGGACAGTCTTTTGTTAAGGAGAACAGAATGCTCTAGGCATATTTCAAAATTCTTACTTTTCCCTCTCCCCACTGCTGAAAGTCTGAAGGAGTTTGTCTCCAACCCTCACTCTGAGAACCTGGTGGGGATCCTGGAAGAAAAGCTCAGGAAAATGTGGAGGCTCCTCTAAGGCCCCCTGGAGTTTTTAGCTCTCAAGCTTAGCCACACTGAGCCTCTGGCAGTTCATCATTTATGGTTTGCGCTCCTGCTGGTCCTGGCTTCTGTGGCAAGCTTCAGCACCTGGGCTTCTGTTCCTGGTGAGCTGCGAGTCTCTGTATTTGCCTGTCTTTCCAATTTATAGGGCAGAAGATAGTGATGTGGACTTAATTCTTTGATGGAACTAAGAAAAATTGTTGATTTTCAGTTATTCAGCTTTTTTCTTGTTGCAAGGTTGGGAGTGATGACCTCCAGCTCTTTATGTGTCAGACTATTGCTAGTGACTTCTATAAATTGATACTCTGTTTGGTAACTTTACAGAACTCTCTTACTAGTTTTAATTATTTTTAATTCTATTGGATTTTCTATGTCACCTGAAAATAAGTACAGTTTTGTATCTTTCTTCTCAATTATTGTGTCTTCTATTCCTTTTTTTTTAACTGCATAGAAATCTTACTTTCCTCAGTGACTGCTAAAGCTCTGTAAATTATTTCTCAGTATAATGGCCATGTAGATAGAATAAATTATTCTCTGACCCTTTGAGACTTTGATAATCAACAATTTTTTATGCTTTATGGACTCATCAGTGATTTATTTTCTTAGGAATTTGGAATTCTCCCTCTTTTGTGTCTAAATTCTCATCCCTACTCGAGGATTTAATGTGCCCTTAAATTTTTTTTTTAAATGATCAGGGTTAGATATTAAGGTTCATAATGTTAGCTTAATAAAGTTTTCAAAGGTTTCACTTTTAATAAAGAACAGTGGTTGAATTATGGTATACTTATGTATATGTATTGAAATGATAATATTTACCTTTTTCAACTATTAATGTGGTGATTTACATTGATTTTCTAATATTAATCTATCTTTGTATTCCTAGGATAAATTCAACTTGGTCATGATATATTATTATGTTTTATATATTCTTCACGATTTGGTTTGCTAATGTCTTATAATTTTTTCCCTGACTGTTCTAGATATATCATATAGCTTCTACTTTTCAGACATTCAAAGAGTGTTTGAAATCTTCCTGCCTGTAAACAAAGGATTTTCCTCTAATATAGTTGTCACTCTGTCTCTCTATCCCTTTCTCAGAAAACAAATTGCATTATTGCTATATTCATAGCTTATTTTAATGAAAATATGTATACAAAAAAGATAAAAATAGTTTAATTTATATTTTATTAGGTAGTTTATAAATTCTATAGACATGATACATTTAATTTCCTGAAATGCTACATGTTGACTCAGATCACTGTTATTGAGTGGTTAGTTTTCAGTATATCAAATCCTTACAATACCATGTACACATCATATTTTGTGGATATTTTTTGATGTAATTGGTCAAATTTGAATTTCTTTGACAGTATGAAAATGCTCATTAGTTTGCTTCATGAAATTTACTGAATATCAATTGTGTGTCAAATACTATTCTAGATGCTGAGGATACAGCAGTGAAAAAAAAAAAATCCCTGCCCTGATGGAGCATCTTAGTGATAGTCTTAGTACCTAATAACAGTCTCAGCATAAAAATGGAACTTTAATGATGTTCCACAATTCATGCAAAAGAAAGCATTCTTGCTGTCTAACAATCATTTTATACCTAGGGTCAAAGTTTTGATATACCACTTTTCATCAATGATAAAAAACAAATTTCTCATTGAAAAATTATCTTTATTGTCTTTTTTGATTATGGTTTATATTAAGTATAATATGAAGTATTCATTCATAATCAAAAATGAAACCTAAATAATTCTACCATAAAATTATTTCTATTGTGGATTCCTAAATATTTTTCAGATGGTTTGGATAAATTCTGATTTTGTTAATATATAAAGTGAATTTGTAATACACTTTGAAAATGTTTCTTAAAAAGCCAACAAGTACAAATATGCATTTTATGTTCTATTAAGCTAATAAATGGATTTTTCAAAGATAGAAAATGGTGTATTCATTTTGATTTACATGTAGCAACTAATTAGAACTAATGAACTCAAGTACTAAGGACACTTACAACTTTTGTACATTCATTTATATATTTTAAAGAGTTTTACAATAGATGATGAGTATGACAAATTAAATTCTAAATAAATGTTTACCAAGTATGCATAACGTTGAATTTCAGTTCTGATACAATTCCTAGTTTAAATTATAGATAAAGTCATAGCTAATCCAAAAATTGCCAAACTGATTTCAGAAATCTTGGTACCCAGAGCAGGAACGCTGGCTTCCTGCAGAGGCATAAACCTGGTTGCTTGTGCAATGTTAGAAACCTCTGAGGTGAGGTTAGCTTCATGGACGGCTTGAATTGCAATGTAGATTTTGGTGCCATTTTCTATTCTAAAAGATTCTGGCTTAAATTCAAAATTTTCTATTGAGCCAGCCTCCTTAGGTATTAGACTAGAAGTGTTCACTAAAGTAGCGTTATCAAAATCTTCTTGGAGATCCAGGAAATTCCTACTTATTCTTATAATGTAGATGTTGGCTGGAAAACAAATACACATTTCATTTATATTAAAATCATTAGGTTGTCTTATTGCTACCACATTGCCTTACATTTAGGGACCTATCAGAAATGCACACAAGGGTTTTAGTTACGGAAATCTGAGCTGTAGTTTTTGTCTGGTTATTCCATCTTCTTTATTGTAATAAGAAACGTGAACAGTTTTTAATCTAGTTTTCTAATCACAAAAAATTTAATTCAAAATTATATAGTACTAAAACTTGAATCTAGAAATAAAGAACTGAATCCATTCTGAATTTAGAACAAGGAACACAATAATGTTTGAGTATTGTAAAGACATTCAGTATCCCATGTCTGTATTATTTCTCAATAAGCTGAGAGAGGGAGTAACAGGATGGGTGAGTAAGGAAGCAGACAGAGTGGGAGGAAGGAATAAGGATGAAGAGCGAACGGAGGCAGAGAGGCTAGAATGTGTACTAACTGAAACATATTTAGGAGCTAGGTAGACTTTGATTAGCACCATAATTCTACTACTTCCTAGCTGTGACAAAGAAAAATTTAACCTTTCTTACCTTTAATTTTCTTGTCTGTAAAGAATCAGGCATTCAGTTCATTCAACAAACATTTTTTGAATGCTAGTGATCAGAATTATATATGATGATACATGAAAAGTGTTTAGCACAATGTGTGAGTCTTAATAAACATTTGAAATGTTAGCTATTATATCTGTTAATTTATCAAGAAAGGAAACGAAGATGCTGACAAATGTTTCATTCCAAAATACCTTTAGAAATCTACCAGAGCCATCATATAGAAATATATTATCACATTCTGAAATGCCGGGAACAATAAAATATCAAATGTCTCTTTTTGAAGTGAAGACTATTTTCTCATGAAATGTTTTTGGTTTTTTTTTCACTTTTTATTGAAATGTAGTTGATTTACAATGTTCTCATGAAATGTTGAAGGTGTTTTAAGTGTGTGGTGAATAACTTCAATTTAGTGGATTTTAAAAAAATATTCAGGCCCTATGCCTTAATATTCTAGTTTTTCAATAAATAGGCCTTATCATTCTGATCCATTCCACTACTCTTCACATCCACTCTGTGTTCCATTTAGGTTGGTCTGTCTATCTATCTATCTATCTATCCATCCATCCATCCATCCATCTGTTCCTTACTTTAATTCAAACATTCCATTGTGAAATTTTGCTTTCTTGATTTTGAGCATATTATTTGGTTCCCTTTCTCCCTGTCATGACTCCTTGGAATGTGCCTCCCTCTCCCTATCTATGCAAATGGTACTTATTCTTCAAAGCCCAACAGGAAGTTCAGCTTCTTCATGAAGTCTTGTTCATGTATTTCATCCCCTGAGGACTCTCCTCCATGAACTTTAATTGTATGGAAAGGAGTTTTATGGAGGTTCTATTTATTTTTTCAGTTTGAACATATTACTCTTGTGGGCAAATGTATGTTTAATAATGTTCCTTTGTTATCAATTAGAGTATTTGGTACTGTATTGTGCATGCATTTGAACTCCTTAATTACTTCTGGTCCCCAACAGACACATGAAAAGATCCTCAACACCGCTAATCATCAGGAAAATGCAAGTCAAAACCGCCTTACACCTGTCAGAATGGACATTATCAAAAAGACAACAAATAACAGATGTTGGCGAGAATGTGGAAAGAAGGGAACACTCTTGTACTGTTGTTGTTGGGAATGTAAATTGATGCAGCCACTATGGAAAAGAGTATGGAGGTTCCTCAAAAAATCAAAAATAAAAAGACCATATGATCCAACAATTCCACTTCTGGGTGTTTTTCTGAAGAAAAAAAAACACTAATTCAAAAAGATATATGCACTTCTGTGTTCATAGCAGCAGTATTTACAAGAGCCAAGATATGGAAGCAACCTAAGTGTCCATTGATAGATGAATGGATAAAGAAGATGCAACATATATACAATTAAGTATTACTTAGCTATAGAAAAGTATGAAATCTTGCCTTTTGTGACAACATGGATTGACCCAGAGGGGATTATGCTAAGTGAAATAAGACAGACAGAAAAAGACAAATACCATATGATTTCACTTATATGTGGAATCTAAAAAATAAAGCAGATATTTTTTAGACATAACAAAACATAACAAAAGAGAAATAGACTCATAGATACAGAGAGCAAACAAGTATTTGCCAGAGGGGAGAGGAGTGGGGTGATGAGTGAAATAGGTGGGGGAGATTAAGAGATACAAACTTCCAGTTACAAAATAAATGAGTCTTGGGATGAAATGTACAGAATGGGGAACATAGTCAATAATCCTGTAATAACTTTGTATGGTGACAGATGGTAATTAGATTTATCCTGGTGATCATTCTGTAATGTATAGGAATATCAAATCACTGTATTATATACCTGGATCTAACATAGTATTATAGGTCAATTATACTTTAATAAAAATATTACTTGTTGGCCAACAACACAGTTATTCAGTTGATGCCCCAAATGATGAAATTAGAGGATCATAAAATATGAGAATTACATTTGTTTTAGTAATTCTAGGTCATATGGTCTAATTTGCATATTTGACAGGTATGGAAATTGGGTCCCAGAAAATTTAAATTCTTCATTCAAAATTTTATGGATATTCATTTATTTTTTGAGATACTGCTACTACCTTCTTTTTCAAAGCCTAATGGTAACATCTGATAGCAACTGCAGTCTCTTCCTATTTGTCACAAGGAAAGAGGGAGATCAGATCCCACATATTTTAGGCTTTTGAGGTTAAATACAGTGAAGTTCTTTCTCTCCCATGTATTACGAAATGCTTTCTTCTTTCTTTTAGTTACTATGATCAGCATGAAAGACATTTATTATGAACCCAATCTTGAACTGAAGGCTTGGTCTTGACTGAATTCAATTTAGAACTAAACATTTGGTCAGATAATTTCATTTATGGCTTTTTCAGTGGAAGTATTTTTTTTTTTCATTTCACCAAATCTCATAATGTATTTCAGAAGCTGTCATGGTAAGAATTTCAACATTGAAGTACAAAGAGCCCTTTGTGGGTATTGTATACTTCCTTTGGTTTTAGAATGATTTTTTTCCTTGTGTAATAATGACAGAAATACAGCTTTAAAAATGCTTTACAGGAAATGAAAGATTAAAAAGCACCTTTTCTTTGAGAGCATACAGCGAGGGGTTTATTAAAACCCAGGAGAAAAAGTATTGAACGTGTATCTTCTCAGCACTGACAACCCCTGAGATACTGTGTCTATTGATATACATATTGTTTTTTCCACCTTAAAGGGAAAAATAGAAAGATTGGCTTTACCTTTGAAGAGTCTACTAGTCTAGCACAATACTGGAATATTGTAGGTATTCAATACATACTAATTGAATTCAGTTAAATTTAAAGCAAAGCTAAAAGTGACTTAAACTTTCTAGAGTAAGGGCAATTTATTATGAGGATCTTTGAATGAATGAGATATTTTGGCCTTCAATTTCAATTCAAACTCCGTGGCCAAATCTCTCAAACTAGTGAGTTTCTCTGCACATTATCCCCTGTTTCCCTAAGACATCTTCACTTTACTTGGCTAACTTCTTTCATTCTTCAAGACCTAGGTCAGGGATAGTCTTCCCTGAAAAGCCTTTTAAGGTATACCTTGTGATCTTAACCCCCAACTAGAAGTGGCTTTCTGATGGCATATTTCTTATTACATTCTGTAAAATTATCTGTTTACTTGCAGAAAGTGTCTTCTGCAGTCAACTGACTGTTGAAAGTAGGGGTTATTTCTTAAGAACTTAGTAGTGTTTGAAAATTCAACAAAAGGTCAATGAATAAAAGAGATTGGAAAAATTTTTCCTTGTTAGGGACAAAAGAGTGCAATGGGATGCTGTTAACTCAGTCTTCTCAAAGTAATTTCTAAGATGGTTCATATTGTGAGAGGCAGTTTGGCACAACAGAATCTGACAAGGGTGAGTTAGACTTCTAATTTATTACATATAGAAATAATTTGGGCCAGTGCATTATCTCTTGGAGCTTCAATTTTCACATATAAAAATAGGTGGCCCACAAGAGACACTCTATACATATCATTTATAAATACGACATTAGAAAATTTTTAGCAAATGAAAGCCATTGAGATTTATTTTAGTATTCGATATTTTTAAACGTAATATCAAACTTACCTTTTCCTTTATCTAGGACGTTACCAGGAGCTGTCCATGAAAGTTGAATATGACTTTCTTTAAACTTGGCCTCAAGGTCTGTAATTTTACCGGGTGGGAACACTTGAGGGTGATTACCAGGAGGAGGAGCCCCTGATACAGTGAACGACCCTCCAGAGGTTAGCCTGCTAAAGTCTTCTATTTCAGCTTCTGCCATGTCATCTTTGACTTCAGGTCTGGGTGGATTCAGTATAATTTTACCTACCAGAAAAGTAATTTTATGACTTTTCAGATTGTGATGTCTATTCTTTATCTTGTAATCTCATTTGCAGCTGTAGAGGGTTAACACTGACTGATAGCAGCCATTGAAAAAGTAACAGCTTCTAGTGAAAAATAGCTTGTCTTATTGGTGTCGTTTTAAAACTGATGAGGAGACATTAAGCACTGTTTGTGCTATCTTTTAACCTGTCTGTCTTTACTACTTAACTGTAAATTCTTTGAGGATGAGGATGGTGTCTTATTTATCTCTGAAGCGCCAGCATCTACCGAAATGCTTGCCACATAGGAGGTGCTCAGTAAATTTTTTTCTCAACGTAAATGAAATGAACTGAGGGGGACATAAGCAAAACATACTAGAAGCAGAGTATGGTTTTGAAACATAGAGATGATTATATAACTGTATACCTAGGTTTTCCATGGTGCATTATATGTTGAATGCTTGCCGCATATAATAAATGACACATTTCCATTTTAATGCTACTTACCATTTTCAACATAGCCTGGTATATACAGGGCTTTGTTCTGTCCTTGTCTTAAACTTAGCCTAGCCGTATTGTTTCTTGCCTGGGCATGTACTTTTAAACTGTATCTACCATTTCCATGGTAATCTGTAAAATATCTTGAGTAGATGCCATCATTCTTGACAGTATCAGCACCTTGATATTGAAATGTAATAATTAGACATCAAACAGAGTAAAAATGACAATCCTAACTGTTCATGAGCACTAGTGATGGCAACCATTTTGGTAGATAGTATAGCACAATATTTTAAGTATATGAACCCTAGAATCGGACTATTTGGGTTCAAAGCCTGGCTTGGCCACTTGCAAACCTTTGACTTTGGAAAAGTCTAATTCATGGTTAGTATTCAATTAATATTAGCTATTATTATTTCATAAAAGAAGCCTAACAAAAAAAGGAAAATATAACTAAACTGGAGAAAGCAAATGCAAAACACTGACATGAATGAAAATAGAGAAAAATTATACTCTTTAAGTTACATGGGAAAAGTAAAATTGTTCATAAAGTTTAAAAAAGATAAATGTACTCATGTCTATGTCTAGTCAAGATAACTATGTGACAAGTTAAAAAATTAAAAACATTTAAAATTAAATTTAATTCATTTAAATTATGATCTATTAGCATACATGTGAAATATCGACTGACTTCTAAGTCATGTGACTATAGTAGGAGTTTCAGTTCAGTGAAAGTTGATGTAGATTCTTATTACCTGCACCATTGTCCCAGAGCTCCAATATTATTTGATGTCCGTCTTCAGTTTCTATAGTGGCTGTTACATTGATTCCCAGAACAGGCAAAAACCCTCGACTGACTTGTGCATAAACGATCAGTGGGCTAGGGAAATGTGCTGTATTTTGGCTCATGTGAGCAGTTGCAATTACTGGGAGTGTAGTAGGACTTCTTGCTCGAGTAGTCATTGTCACCGTTAGCATTTGAGAGCTGGCATGATTATTTAGAAGGCTGTAAGTCCAAGTACCTGTCTGAAAATTTTAAGAAGAATGTCTATTTGAGAGCTTTTGAATTTTTTCCTACTCCTGTGTAAGATGTTATCTTCATTTTTTCCTTCAAAATTGGTTGATAAAACATGACGAAAATAAAAGTGTCTTCTTACCTCGGCAATACCTGGTATTCGAAGCCGAGCAGACCGAATATTTAGTTTATCTTCTTTGAAATCTGAGGTTTCATATTTCTTTCCTTTTGGATCTTGGAGAAGAATTTCTGGCTTTTTTATCGTCCATGTGACAACAAAGAAAGTGTCATTTCCAACTGTACCATCCACAGGCACTGTACCATTTATCCATTTCCTCCCTGCAATATTTAGGGCTTTGCTTTCCAGCTGTTACATAAATAAAAGCAACAAACACATGAGACTGATTTGTTATTACAGTTAATAGCATTTCAAAGTTTAGTCAGTTCGGAGTAACTCTAAATGTATTTTTATGATTTCAATTAAAATAATTATTATTTTAAAGAATTTTGCATATAAAAAGCATTTATAATGATAAAAAATAGAAGAATCAAAAAAAATGTCTATAAGTATCACAAAAAGCAAATTCAGTAAGGATGTTTTTCTTCTGCACATGTGAAATGCTTTCAGGCAGAAGAGTTATTTATTAGAAGAAGAAGTTACTATTTAGGATAATAGAAACTTATTACAAATGTGGAAAGGCAAAGAATTTTTTTGAGATACCGACCTGAATAGCCTGCTGAGTGATGCTGCCGCTTCTAGATGAAATTCTACTGAAAGCATTAGTGAGGCCATTTATGTCTTTATTGGCATAGAAACGATGTCCTCCTAAAATGGAATTGTATTTACTTTTATAATATTAATTTTAAATGAGAAAATCGTGTTTGCTATTATGTTGCTATCAATGTACTATAGAATACATTTTAAAATTTCTTTTTAAACTTATGAAAGATGAATTTCCCGGACCTTAGGAACTTTTAGTATATCAATATCCCAGATGTAACCCTACAGTAACTAAACCTTGCTCAAAGTATGTTAGGACAAAACAAAAAACCTGGCCAAATATTATCATTTTATATCAATTACTAAAATTTAAGTGCTTGCCACATTAGTAAAGCTGATCTAATCCCAAATAATGTTATGGAATGAAATTTTAGACAATTTTCAAACTGTCTGCTTATTTTTTAGTTGTATCTAAGATATACCAAAACAATTAGAGAATGATAGTTTAGAATAAAATAAAAAGTAAGTGCAGGATATAAATGATATGGGATTTAAGTAAGAGGGAGATTACTTAGGTATCAGGAGCTGCAAAAGAAAGGATTGCAAAGGGCAAGACCTGGTAATCAGGTCTCTGACTATAGCCTTGGGCAAATCATTTGTATTCTCTAGGTTTCCGTTTCTTCCTCGATAATACAGGACTGTCTGAATCTACCGTAGGATAGAGCAGGACCAAAACTGAGCAAGAATTTTAGAACTGCAGTTGAGTAACCATGGAGAAAGAAGTTTCATTTAGGTGGTATTGGTAGAAAGCGGTGAGAAATGAATGAAGACAGCAAATGTTGACTAATATTAGAAGAAGCCAGTATAGGTAGCAATGGAGAGAAGCAGGGATGGGGAGAGGAAGATATTAATTTGAAAGAAAGACAAGGAAAGGATAAAGATTTATTTTTTAAGACAGGAAAATTTTGCGCAGTTTTGTAATTTAAGGGGATAGAGTCCCTGGAATGGGAGAAACTGAAAAAGTACTTTCTATTCAAAGTGTTCCAAAAGTTTACCTGTCATATTTGACAGCATCTCCAGTTCTTTGTCAGCAGAAGGTCCCAGAGCAATGGTGTGAATGATTGCACCACTTTGTTTTACTCTCTCAAAGCACAGGCTTATTTTATCATCTTCCCCATCTGTTAGTAATATGATTTCAGAACCAGAAGTACTCTGGTTACTCTGGATAATTGCCTGATAATGAAAAACCAGATTATTTATTATAGAATATCACATCTAAAAAGATTTAAACTAGGAACAAACCTTTTCTTTAGCCTTAGAGAAGTCCCTAGGCCTGCCCATCAGAGGCAACTTCCTTTGAGTTGACATTCCAGGCTGAGGTGGCTTGAAATAGAGTGTAATGTACAATGCTTATGTAGGTTTTCAAAGATAGAATGTTAAAAAGTGCTTCTAACCCTTTCAAATATACTGAAGCTACTCAAGAGAGAAAGAATAAAACACTGAGAACAATGCCTAACACGTTGTAAGTACTCAATGAACGTTAGCTTTTATTATTATCCCAAGAGATACTTGGGGTGGAGGCAAATGACCCAGGCGGTTTTAGAAGGTTAGACAGTATTTGCAAAGTGGTGAGTGAAGGCAGACATGCAAAGTTAAATGATGTCTTTTTATGCATTTTAGTTGATAATTGAAGAATCTCAGGATTTCCTGGGAAAAACACTGACCTGTTATGAAGAAGGAAGTTTATGAATTTACCAAGTGTTATAATTTTGAGGGGTATTTTCCTGGCTTGTACCAAGAATATTGGCTAAGACAATGTACTCAGACAAATTGAGAGTAAATTTTAGCTCTGCCATTTGCTAAACAGAATAGCTAGTATTTAATTTCTCTCATTCATATATATATACATATATATAAATATATATTTATACTTATAATAGAGGTCTATAAATAGCTCAGTGTAGTGCTTACCTTTTTGAACTTTGTGGTAAGAAAGACCAGGTTTGAACTGTAGATTTACCAATTACTGACATATGATCTTGAGAAAGATACTTAATTACTCTGCACCTCAGTTTCCTTATGTGCAAACTGGGCATAATAATAGTGCCTGACTAAAAAATTAATAGTAAGGATAAAGTAAGAGCATGTATATAAAGCATTTAACATAGGCAATAATGTAGTATATATGCTCAATAAATTTCAGATAAATTGTATGGTTATGCAAGTAAAGGTTTATATATTGATATGGTTTCATTACATAAGTAATTAGGAAGTTTTTATATGTTTGAATGTAATTTAATATAATCTATTCAGCAGTAGACTCTGGTCAAAATGTTATATGATATATATCAAAACATATTAAGAAAAACATTTATGAACCAATAAGTGCAAACATTATGACACAATGCCAACATAGTACTGTCGTATTTTAGAAGTGAATAGGCATATGTAAGAATTACGATTATTATACATATAAGAATTATGGTTATTATAAAATAGCAATCCTTTCTTGAGCACTTGTTTCTTTTTTATTGAATTATAGTTGATTTACAATGGTATATTAGTTTCAAGTGTACAACAGAGTGATTCAATATTTTTATGAATTATACTCTATTGAAAGTTGTTGCAAAATAATGACTGTATATCCCTGTGCTATATAATATTTCCTTGTTACTTATTTATTTTATATGAATAAGCCATACCCCACCCTGTGCCTCCCTCTTTCCTCTCCCCACTGGTAACTCCCAGATTGTTCTCTATAGCTCTGAGTCTTTGTTTTGTTATATACATTCATTTGTGTTATTTTCTAGATTCCACATATAATTGATAACAGAATAGTTGTCTTTCCCTGTATGACTTATTTCACTAAGTGAGCATAAAACCCTTTAGGTACATCCATACTGTTGCAATGCATAGTTGCTCCTCACTAAAATCATGATGGCTATGCGCACACTGGATTTTTCTTCCCCTAATTAGCCACTCCTCAGTGCAACTCAGTTATCTCTGGAGTATGTTGGTGATAAAACGACACTCAGAGAGGCTCCAGCTATAGACAACAGAAAGCCTCTAAAATTATTTAAATAAGGGGCCTATAAACTCATGATCCTTGTTCCAAGATAGCTGGACAAAATTAAAAACAACGGTAAATGGCAAATGATATTTAGAAAAGCCTTTTTATTTTACCTGAAATCCTGCTTCGAGTCCGCTGCAAATTGCAGTTCCACCACTGGCCTCTTGAGGCAGATTTGCAGTGATGTTTTGGTAAACGTTGTGGTCAGTTATCCTGGTTAGATTATTTTGAATTTTAGCAAAACTTTCAAATGTGACCATCCCAACCAAGGATCCCTTTTCGATAATTTGAATCAAGAATAATTCTGCTGCTTGATTCATTTGAAAGAGACGGTCTTCCTGTAAGAAAAAGATGTCTGAACAATTCCCGAATCTCCTCCAGTCTTGAAAGATTGGTAAAAGACAAGGTTGTTCATGGGCCAGAGATCATGATAATAATTGATTATTGTATTTTAAAGTTTAATTTAATTATATTAAAAAGAAATAATTTGAAAGAAAAATGTTAAAAATCAGTCATTTTATACTTGGAAAAGCCTTAAAAATTTTTACCTTCTTTAACAGTTTTATATTCAGAAACTTATGCTAAAGAAATAATTTAAAAATGCATACAAAAATGTTCACTGCAACATAATTTTATATCACCAAAATGTCCAATAATGGGGGGTTATTTGACTAAATTATAGTATTGCATATGATAAAACCATTGAAATTTATGTCATGGAATCATTTTTTTCCTTGGGGAGTGTTTAAGGTACAGTAAGCAGAAAAATCATTATAAAACATTATATAAGATATAATCCCATTTTTGAGGAGGAAAAACAAATACATAAACAGAAAAAAGACTAGAATGACATATGCTCAATGGTAGAATTATGGATAATTTTTACTTTTTCTTTTTGTCAGTTATGTTACTTCTAGTTTGTTAGAATTTAAAGTTAAAGAATAAACATTATTCATAATCCAATAACCTTTTTAAACAACTTTTTATTTTGGTATATTATCTTCTAGTGCTTGTCCATATAAAATCCTTGTAATTAAATTTATTACAATAACAAAAATATATTTTAGTTAGCTTAGTAGAATTAAACCTAAGATTAAATTATATTTCTATTAGCTTAAAAGCTTAATTTAGGAGCGCTAACAAATAAAGATCTTACTGAATCCATGCTTCCAGATTTATCAAGTACCAGACAGACAACTCGCTGTTTGGACTTAAGCAGTGAAAACGTGGGATGAGATGGTGGGTTTGTTCCTGTCATGGGAGATACATTCTGGAAGTCACTGGAGCCCATGATTACATCCCATGTGCTTCTCCTATTGCACATTTTGTTGTGTAGGTTTGGAGCTTCTGTATTGTGTGTTTTTGCTGTACAAAATTCAGTCACCTGAAAAAGATCAGTTAAAAGACAATAATATGGCCACTGATGAGGCGTTACCTTCCTTCCCAAATACACAGTTGGGTGCTGTATACATCCTTCACAGATTTTATCTCCTGACAATTAAAAATCGTTTCATAATCTAACATTCTGACGTCCATTTTGCATACTTGAGTGGAGAGAAAGCAAAGTAAAACCATTAGTATATCCTGGGAAGTTATTTGGTGATTCCTTTTAGATATAGGCAGATCATAGCATGGGGGGTAGTGACAGCTGGCACAACTGCTAAGTTAACTTCTTACTTTCCCTTCTAGGCTCTGGTGGGACTCGAGCATGGAATTAAGTTTAATGGAGAGGGGGACAGGATTTGCAGTAATTTCTAGCTGCCCCCTAAAAGTGGGATAAAGAAAATGGCCTTCTTTAATTGCCCAGGTATTTTCTGTCTCTTTATAGTTTATTGAAAACCTTGATGACAGATATTCTCACAACCTCAAATGCTGTTAGTTCTGATGAATTCTGCTGTAAATAAAATACTTCCGAAAAAGTAATGAAAATGTAGGATGAAATAAGGAAATGCAATTGCTTCTCTTTCAGTTGCAAATGGTGATTTGTATCCAGTAATTCTGCCACATGATGTTTCATTACTAAAGAATCTGTGAAAATCCTCCAAGTTCTGAAAACGTAGTAACTTGGATAGACACTCGCATAAACTAATGCAGCATTCAGAAAGGAATTCATCTTGCAGTAAAAACTTAGCTTTATAAGTCTCATTTTGTTTTTTCAAATGCCCTCCCCATACAAAATCTCCAGCTGTAAGCTCAGATGTAGAACTAAATTATTAAACTTGAATACCTTCTATTCAAGTTTTAAGAGTTTGTTTTCCTTCTATTATGTTTCCGATTTACATTTCCCAGAAGGGGTTATATTGGATGGGAGAAAAGTACATTTTTCAGTCGAAGCAGTGATTTGTAATCATCTTGATGATATGAAATGCCTATCAAATCTAGCTCCTCTTGCTACAGCCACTGGCTTTATCCAGGGCCTTCAGGCCCCTAAATCTGCCTGTTGCCGTGGCCTTCCAGCTGGTCTCCCTGCCTCCACTGTCATCTCGCTCCATTTTGTGTTTCACAGCTAGTAGAATTATCTTCCTGAATTGGCTGATCACATCAGCAATCTGAAGTTGATAAAATACAAACACCCTAGCTTTGCAGGTTCCAGTTTCTTGTTTCAGTCCTATTTCCTGCCTCTTGCTCACTATGTATGCTTTGCTTATAGAACACTGAACCTTTTCCTATCCTTAGAGTATGCTGGAAACTTTCACAGGGTCTCACTAATCCAAATGGAAAAAAGGAGAGAAAATTTTGTGCAGTTTAGGAAAGGGTGCCCTTTTCTCAAGTCTTTTTTTACTGCTTTTTATGGAAAATTGTTCCAATCTATATTAAAATCTTTAGTGACCAAGATGCAAGTAATTTGGGCAGTGCTCAACTTGTACAGTCATGTGTGACTTCCCTGTATTTTTCCACTCTGCTTCTGTAAACCTGTTTCTTTGCTTGTAACTCCCTTCCCTGTCCTGCTTTGGCAAGTTCATACTTATTTTTTTCCAAATCCCAGCTCAAAACTCACCTCTTTAGAAATCACTCTCTGACCTCCAGTTGGAGAGGTTTGCTGTACTCTCATAGCACTTGGTTTCTATCTCTTTCTACTTTGTACCCAAGTATATTTTTCTTATATCTCTACCTCTCTCACTAAACTGAGTTCCTCAAGAATAGATATTTTAAATTATTTCAGTATTTTTTCAGCTCCTAGCACAGTGTTGAGCATGAAGTGGGAGTAATGACGTTTCAGGGAAGGGAATCATAGACTTGAACATTCAACATTTCAGATCTTATTTCTCCTGGGTCTGAGCTTATGCCCTGGGTACGGATGCTATGCAATATATTTAGTCTATGTTATGTTAATTAGAAGGTAGTGTTATTCTGGACAAGATAAATGGTTAAAGCACAGTATTTGTCTCTGAGCCATATCTTGTATAATTAGTTGCCCTCCATATTTCAGCTACATGATTTTCTTTCTTCATTATTGCTTATTTACCAGGTAGGAGGCATGAGTTATCTTCTCACAGCCAAATGATTTTGGAATTTATAGTTTGGTACAGGCAGTATATATTTCAGTTATCCTCTTGTGTCACATGATCTGATACCTATTTGGATGCTGAATTATTTGGCTAGCCTGTGCTGACCCAGATTCAGCAAGTTAAAGTGAAACTTCTTAGCTTATCTTTCCAATATTTCCAGGAGGGAGCTCTGGAAAAAACAATTTCTGCTTAAATATCTTCATTGGATTCATTTAGGAGTTTTAGAAGAAATTATCAAGTCTATATTTTTACTCAAGTCCTTCATCATTATGCCCTAGACTCCAAAAAAAAAATTTTATTGGAAACAGCAAGCCTTTATAAACCACTACCCACGGATGTATATGTTGCTAGTAATTTGGTATATAAATATTTGCTTCTTTTAAATGTTAGTTTACTATCTACGGATGGTATACTTTACTTTGATCTGTTGTCTTTAATAACTCATATGTTTCACATTTAAAAGTCTTCTTTACATGTTTGTAAACTTTCATTATATAACTATAATATGTTTGCATTAATTAAGACTGGATTTATCCAAGGGAAGAGACAATTCACTATTATCCAAATATTTTATAAGTTAAAAAATTTTAAGTTCATTTTGTACTCAGCTTGTGCTAAGCACTATGATCATACTTTATATGTATTAGCTCTTATAAAACTAACAACAATGACACTGTAAAGTGAGTATTATAATTCCCATTTAAAAGATGAGAGAGCTAAACCTGAGATTTAACAGTTTGCTCATAGTGACATGGCTTGAAAATGACGGACCAGGTTTTGATATCAAGTCTATCTGACTTCAAGGCTCCTGTTCTTATCTACTGAGCTTTATACATTTAAACCAGATATTTCGAGTCAAACATTAGCTTTGGAACTTAAATTGTTGTATTGTGATTGGTGATTGTGAAGTTTTCCCCTTTGTTTTGTAGAGACAGGACCATTTATGTCTTCACAGTATTGCTTTGCTACAACTTGTGTGTTTTAGTGTAAAGTTAATGGAAAATAGAGAATGTCAGTACTTTCCAAAGCTATTGAATGAATTACTTTGGAAAAGTAGTATTACTATACTTAGAAAGAGTTAAAAGTAAGGTTGTGGACACAAGTCCACAGAAGTCAAATGAGGAAAGGGATGTTATAAGAAATTCTGTGATGCCAATGGGAAGGGTACAGTTCTACATCTGAAGAAAAAAAGAAAAACAAGTTAGTAAAAAGAATGGAATAATTTCCAGACAGACTGTGACACAGGACTGGAGAAAATGACTGCTAACTAGTTGTCTTTGTAATTTCCTTCATTTCTATGGTATACATAATTTCATAACAGAAAATCCAGCTTCCCTAATTATTTTTCCCCCTAAATTTCCTTTGTGAGACTAGAAGAAGAAGGTACTTACTGAGTGGAGACTTTGCACAAACATAATGGATTCCCTTGCAGTCTGGGATTTTTCTGGGATGAATGTACATTTTGCTTCATACAGCCCCGTCTGTGAATCACGTCTGCACGGCCTTGTTATACAGCTGCCTCCCTGGCATTCCTTGAAAACCACATTAACACCAGTGATATGAGTTGAGCATCTATGATGAAAGAATTAGATGAAAGAAAAATATATGAAGGCTAGAGAAATTATGAATAAAGATTAACATTCTAAAGTCATTCCCTCAGTGACAGTTGCTATAGATCATGTACCAACGTTCCATTTTGACAGAGATGGGCACAGTGTCCTACCCCTATTTACTATCGATTTCGACAAGAATAATGATGTTAATTCGTATGTGTTAATATTTATTGCTCACTAATGTGATCAGTACATCTATTATCCTTGTGACTTTGAGCTAAAGATGATAATTCCTAACTCACAGGGATGTGAAGATTAAGTGAGTTATGCCATACAGAGGAGTTGCTTCCTAGTGGAGAGGGGAAAGTCAGCATTATGCTTAAAACCCTCTTAAATTTCTTATGTATGGTACATATATACATATATATATTGCTATATAGATGGATACATATATATCCCATACATAGAAAACCATAGGTGGTTTTGTGTTTACAGCATTTTGCAATTTACATTTGAAAAATGCTGAGCTAGACTGAAGGAAGAAATAAAAATAAACCCTGCATGACAATGCTTGTGCATTCAAACCTTTTGGTCTTTATAATAAGTAAGATAATTGTCAAGTCCCTGGCAGGGAATGGAGTGGGTTGGGGTGTGGGTAAAAGATTCCAAAGAGTTCTTGTTTATCTGCAGGATGCATTCCCATCCTATGTTAATACTGTACTTCATAACATTAATCCCATTGTAATAAATTTATTTGTATTGCAAGGATTAGAGGAGATGGTTAGTCATATTTTCCAAGAGGGTTACCTTTAGGGTGAGCATGAAAGTTAAATTTACACTGCTTCCAACAAGTGCCTGGCTCAATAAATGTTATTTTAGATACAGTTTTTAACTAATATATCTCTTTTTTATGACTAATAAGGAAACTCATCCATTTTTCATTAATTTATGAAAAATTGGTTGTTTGATACATTCTTTGTTTAGCTTTTACTTTATGCCATGTTCAAGGCTAGGGGATTAAAAAAAATCAGTCCTCAAGGATCTTAAAATCTAGTGGGGAAAATAAAATTACACAGTTTCTGCCCAGTGTGAGAGAAACCCCTTACACTGCTTTGAAAACTGTCTTAAAGGGTATGTGAACCCAAATGGAGGGAGAGGAAAGACACTTAGGGAAGAAGGTTTTAAACTGATTTTTGAAGGATGAACAAGCATTGTTTAAATAAGGGAGGTGGTGCTGGGAGGAGTAGGCTGGGAGGAGGTGAGAGGAATGAGTGTATTGGGTTGAAAGCCTAGTCTGTAAAAATTGTAGGCAGCTCAGTAGAGATAATGCAAACAACACAAATGGGATGGGAAAGGCATTTTTCTGCCACACCTCTTTCCTCTAGCATGTTTTTTATCTCAAAGACTAACTTCCTGTTACATTGATTTCTTTTGTTCCTTAATGCTCTTTACTCCATATGCTTGATATTATTTTTAATTTAAATATTGTGTCTATTCATAAATAAGGCCTGTCTAAATTTACACAGAATTATATTTCTTAAAAAATCAATTTTCTCACTTACCCTTATTAAAAGTACTTTTTTCCCTGTAAGCTCAAGATTAAATGAAAATTAAAATATATTTAACATGAGACTATTTAACATGATGTATTTAACAGTTTAATTGATTTCAATGAAACAAATTTACCTAAAACGTTATGAATCAAATGGAACAAAAGATTGTATAGGAACTTGAACTCCAGTTCTCAAGTATGTTAAGGTTTAGGTTACAACTCTTTCCTTTCTCCTCTGACAGTAACATATTTTAGTATACTCCCCATGAGTACTGACATGATTCCCAGTTTTTGATTGATCTTGATTCTAACGTGTAATCCCCAGAAGTTGCTGGACAAAAACATAGTGGGGCAGGCTGGATATTGCAATTAACTGTGTGAGCATTGAACCTCTGAGAATGCCATTGTTTGCCTAGGATAAAAAATTAAAAACTCTTAAGTGAAAAGTTATGAAAACAGATTTGTTCAGTGTAATGATACCTTGTTGCTTCAATGGTGTTCCTTCTGGAAACATAGAATGGCCGGTCCACATTATACTCATCAAATACTCCCCATCGGAGATGGGCCCACTCATGGACAAATACTCTGCCTATGAGAGAATATTGCCACTTATAAATTTGTATTTACAATATAGATATCCCTGCTTTTTGAAATTTCACTTTACATCACTTCACTTTTTTAAAAAGACCTACATTAGTACCTGTTTTCACTAATGGAAGGAAATTCAAAGAGCATTTTTGCTTTTTTGAAAAGAGGCAGAGAGCAAAAACAGCATTCAGCACTGGTTTTGCAGCCAGCTGTTTTACAGGCAGTGCACACCCAGAGCGAGGGGGGTGGCACCGCCGAGCTCCTTCCCTGGGAGCTACACTCAGCACCTCAGCATCAAACCACATACCTTCGAACTGTGTCTATGAGCATCTGTGCTTTATCTTGATGTATTCTGTGCATCTGTTAACAAGGTGTGTCCTAAAGTAATTGCTTCTTTGCTGTATGCCATTTTGACTTATGAAAGGTTTCATAGGAACACTACTTTCAGGTAGTAGGGGAAACCTGTATTTAAATACTATTTCCTTATATTTTAAGTCTCCCTACCCCATATCCTCAACCTAATTGAGTCAGGGAAATCTAGAAATTGACAAGTTTCATTAGACCAAAAAGGTTAAAATGCGTTAGTATCAATAAATGACTAATTTTATTATTAAACACACAAACACAAGAAGTATAATTAAGTAGAACGTAACTAGTAAATTTCCAAAGGGATTAATTAATACCTATTTATTGCTTTTAAAAATCTTTAAAAATACCATTAACCACAGCGTTATGTTTGTTTCCAGCGGGAATGAAAACAAAAGTATAAAATAGATATCCCTACCTCGGGGCCCGTAGACAGGCAAATTATCAGTCAACAGGAAGTTTGGAGTGAAATGTATATACTGTCCTTTTTCTCCACATTGTCCATATTGAAGTGTGTAAGGATCATCTCCATATTTTAGGTTAGGATCAGCAACTATGACATCTGCCTAAAAAGCAGAACAAACAACCAAAACAGATCCCAAGAGCAACAAAAACAAGGAATTTTTCATCTAAACTAAGACCAGTAATGTTACTAATTTAAATACTAAAGTCGTGATTATTAATTATTAAAAGCTATGAGTATTAATTTTTAAAAATTACAAGAAGAAAACAGCAGTTTAGGAGTTAGGTACAACACCCTACCTGGTCATACGATTCCTGCTTTGGCGTTAAGTACTCGGATTTTGACTTCCAGGTTATTGGGATTAAAATGCTTACATTCCTGAAGTAAACTCTTCTTTTGGTAGCATGAAACAGATATGTAGAAGCCTCAGTTACCATTTCCTGACAATATTAAAAACACCTTGTGGTAACAATTCACATGAAATGAACATGAAAGTGTACATACAAACAAGAAGAAGCTAATCTAAGCTCCTCTCCCCAAATTTTTGGCAAAGACTAACTGAAAAATAAGTTATATTTTACTATATCTCTGTAGTCTGTAAACTCCCATTTTCATATACTTAGAAATCAATTCTCTTTTTTAAAACCTATCCAGACCTGCATTCAGCATTACGAGTTGGAGAAGGACGTGAGGGTGTTGAGTGAAATATGAAGGTGATGGAGACTGGGAGCCTGTTGGCAAGTTGCTTGTTGAATTAAACAGAGGTGCTTATAATTGGGTTGGGAGTTTAAAGTTTGGTAGATTTTATTGTTTTTTATTGTTAATTTAAAAAATTTTGCTAGATTTATTTTGAGTTATCTTCTCATATGACATATGTTTATAAAAGGCAAAGTTTTACCAAGTAATTTTCTAAAAATATATAGGTCTCAGTGGCTTCAAGTTCCACTTTTGCTACTTATTGTATGACTGTACAAATCACTTAACTTTTCTCATTTATACAACAAAGATAATTAATCATCTCTGTTTTTGACTACCTCATAGGGATACTGGGAGGATCAAAGATAATAGTATAAAGTGCTATATAACAAGTGTCTTATTATACTGACTAACCCAAGTAAAATTAGGAAGTAAGTCAACTTCAAAAATACATATTTTCCTTAAGATCAGATACAGAAGAATTTCAAATTTTTCAGAGTTGAACAAGTATGAACAACTGAAAAATTGAAAAAAAATAGATAATAAACCTGTAGGGCTTAAGTGTCAGTTAGTTATTTAAACATTATAAAGCTAAAATTTGAGAATAATTTTCCGCTATCTCTAAGGTCTTTCTGTCAGCTTAATGAGTTGAAAAAGTATTGATAGTCTGGCCTTTTAATAATTCATTAGGGGAATGACTAATACTATTAATGTATGATAAATAATACTTAAACTAAGCAGATATTAATCTTGGCAGTTCAGATACATACTACATAAATGATGAATACTGTCAAAACAATTTTGTAAAGTTATAACTTTGTATGAATGTGTGTATGTGCCTAGGCAACACGAGTTGAAAATATTTAATGAAATAAAAGTAACTGGATAATAAATTTTTCTCTTACCTTTATGTTTTGAATGAGTCTTTCATCTTCTGGCACACTGGGGTTAATTGCAATGACAATGCCATCATACCCATTATTATTCAAAGTTACCATTGAGCTTTTCATTCTAGGCAAGAGATGCACAGTTAGGAACAGGATAACACTCAGACTGAGTGCCATTTTTGCTCTTGCTGCAATTAACCTATTAGAAATGTAAGCAGAGAATTTATGTGCCTGCTTAACTGAGATATTTGACTCTAGACCCACATATTTGCATAAGTATAATATATTACTGAAATATCTTGAGGCACTTCCTTTTCTTAACCTAAAGAGTTGTTTAGTTGTTAAGTAGCAATGGGGATTATGCTGAACATTCATCATACTTTCTAAGACAGCTAAGGTGTTAAGTACTTATTGAACTGAGCAATTCTTTTTGATTGTGTAGTCATCTTCCTCATCATGGTGGCCATTCATTGTGATAATTGTCATTGTCATCCAATAATATTAGATACTTTCCAGTCCTGGGAAAAGAACTCTATGGAAGAATGAGGAACTGAAATGAAAAGCACAAGGAAATAACAGATGAAAAAGGCCAGCTTAAAAAGAAAAATAAAACAAAAATGAATAAAGGAACTAGAGTGGGAGTGGCAGTTAATTAGTATTTCTATTCTTCCTTTAGAAGGAAGTGATATAAGCTGAGTGTTTGGGGACAGCTGTGAGTCAAGGAGCAAATGGGTTTTTTGATTACCTACCATGATAACTGCTTGAATATATCAGTTTTCAAATAGCATTGAATGCTTTAAGCCTTTGTATAACTTGAAAACTTAATATACTTCAATTAGATTTGTTTTTTGGAGTTGAACACAAATTTGCCAATGTTCCTTAGCTTGGAATACTTGTACACGTAGTGTTGTGAGCTGTCTTTGGAGTCAGATGAATCTAAACCTGACCCTTTTCTCAGTCATTTAACACTTACATGATTCTTTTTTTTTTTTTTCTAAATTGAGGTATAGCTGGTGTACAATATTATATAAGTTTCAGGTATACAATATACTGATTCACAATTTTTATATATTATATTACATTTATAGTTATGATAAAATTTGGCTATATTCCCTATATTGTACAATATATCTTTGTAGTGTATTTATTTTATATATAGTAGTTTGTACCTCTTAATCCCCTACCCCTATCTTGCCTTCCCTACTCCTCTATCTCCACTGGTAACCACTGGTTTATTCTCTGTATTTGTGAATCTGTTTCTTTTTTGTTATATTCATGAATTTGTTTTATTTTTATATTACACATATAAATAAAATTATATAGCATTCGTCTTTCTCTGTCTGACTTACCTCACTAATACTCTATGCTAATAATACCCTCCAAGTCCATTCAAGTTGTTACAAATGGCAAAATTTTATTCTTTTTTATGGCTGAGTAGTATTTCATTGTATGTACATATATCATATTTTCTTTATCCATTCATCTGTTGATGGACACTTGAGTTGCTTCTGTATCTCGACAATTGTAAATAAAATAACATGGGAATCATGAAAGACCCCAAATTGCCATAGCAATCTGGAGGAAAAAGAACAAAGCTAGAGGTATCATGCTCCCTGACTTCAGACTAGTCTACAAAACTACAGTAATCAAGACAGCATGGTACTGGCACAAAAAATATATAGATCACTGGAACAGAATAGAGAGCCCAAAAATAAACCCATGTACCTATTGTCAATCAATGACAAAGAAGGCAAGAATATCCAATGGAGAAAAGATGGTCTATTCAGCAAGTGATGTTGGCAAAGCTGAACAGCGTCATGTAACTCAATGAAGTAAGAACACTCCCTTACACCATACACAAAAGTAGACCCAAAATGGCTTAAGGACTAGTTCTGTCTGTTTTTTGTACCAATACCATACTGCTTTGATTATTGTGGCATTGTAGTATTGTCTGAAGTCTGGAAGGGTTATGCCTCCAGGTTTGTTCTTTTTCCCCAGGATTGCTTTAGAAATTCTAGGTCTTTTGTGGTTCCATATAAATTTTAGTATTATTTTTTCTAGTTCTGTGAAAAGTGTCCTGGGTATTTTGATAGTGAATGCTATCTGTAGATTAAATATGTAGATTGCTTTGGGTAGTATTCCATTTTAACAATATTAGTTTTTCCAATCCAAGAACACAGGATATCTTCTCATTTCTTTGTATCATCTTCAATTTCTTTCCTTTATCAGTGTTTTATAGTTTTCAGAGTATAGGCCACCGCCTTGGTTAAGTTTATTCTTCGGCATCTTATTCTTTTTGATGTGATTTTTAAAGGGCTTGTACTCTTGCTTTCTCTTTCTGATAGTCTGTTATTAGTGTATAGAAAAGCAAGAGACTTCTACATATAAATTTTGTATCCTTCAACTTCACTGAATTTATTTATCAGTTCTAATAGTTTCTTGGTGGGGACTTTAGGGTGTTCTATACATAGTATCATGTCATCTGCAAGTAGTTCCAGTTTTACTTCTTCCCTTCCAATTTGGATGCTTTTTATTTCTTTTTCTTTTCTGATTGTTGTGGCTAGGACCTCCCATACTATGTTAAATAGAAGTGGTTAGAGCAGGCACCCTTGTCTTGTTCTTGAATTCAGAGGAAAGGCTTTCTGCATTTCACCATGAGTATGACGTTAGCCATGGGCTGATCATAAATGGCCTGTGTTGTATTGAGATATATTCCTTCAACAACAGCTATGATGAGAGTTTTTATCATGAATAGATGTGGAATCTTGTCAAATAGTCTTTCTTCATCTATTGAAGTTTTCAGCTATCATTTCATCAAATGCATGTTTGACCCCTTTCTCTCTCTTCTTCTCAGACCCCTATAATGTAAATACTGGTGTGCTTGATGTTGTCTTAGAGATTCCCTTAAACTGTTTCATTTAAGTCTTTCTTCTTTCTGCTGCTCTGATTGGGCGACTTCCGTTATTCTGTCCTCCAGACCACTTGTGCCTTCTCCTGTGTCACTTAGTCTACTGCTTTCCATTTCAGTTGTTCTTCAGTTCTGACTGGTTCTTTTACTTACTTTTTAGTTTCTTGTAAAAATTCGGACCGTGTTCATCTATTGCTTTCCCTAATTCGGTTAGTATTTTTATTAGCAATGCTTCGAATTCTTCATCTGGTACATTGTTTGTTTCTGTTTCATTTTAATTTTTTCAGGCGTTTTCTTCTGCTCTTTCAAATGAGATCAGTTCCTCTGTCTTTCATTTTGCTAACTTTTTACATCTCTATGAATTTAGGTGAAATAGTTACCTATTGCAGTCTGGAAGGGGTGCTCTTCTGTGAGGGCATCCCTATAGAGTCTATGTGTCCAGTGCTTTTGGTGGGAGAGCTGGATTTGATGTGAAGAGAAATTACATCTTTCCTCAGGGTATGCTGGTGGCTATAACCTTGGTGGGAGGCAGGGCTGGAAATGGAGGAGTTAGAGCCAGAGCCATGGACAGTTGGGTTGTTTCCATGTCTTTGCTATTGTAAATAGTGCTGCTTGTATTGGGTGCATGTATCTTTTTCAATTAAGTCTCCCTCCAGTTACATGCCCAGGAGTGGGATGGCTGGATCATATGGTAAGTCTATTCCTAGTCTTTTGAGGAATTTCCATACATTTTCCACAGTGGCTACGCCAAACTACATTCCCACCAGCAGTGTAGGAGGGTTGCCTCTTCTCCACACCCTCTCTGGCATTTATCGTTTGTGGACTTCTGAATGATGGCCATTCTGACTGGTGTGAGGTGTTACTTCACTGTAGTTTTGATTTGCATTTCTCTGATAATTAGCCATTTTGAGGATTTTTTCCATGTGCCTATTGGCCATTTGTATGTCTTCATTGGACAATTGCTTGTTTAGGTTTTCTGCCCTTTTTTGTATTGGGTTGTTTGTTTTTCTCTTATTAAGTTGTATGAACTGTTTATATATTCTGAAAATTAAGCCCTTGTCGGTCTCCTCTTTTGCAAATATTTTCTCCCATTCTGTAGGTTGTCTTTTTGTTTTGCTTATGGTTTTCTTTGCTGTGCAAAAGCTTACAAGTTTAATTAGGTCCCATTTGTTTATTTTTGCTTTTATTTTCATTGCCTGAGTAGACTGACCTAGGAGAACATTGCTGAGATTTATGTCAGGTAATGTTTTGTCTATGTTTTCTTCTAGAGAATTTTAAAATGAAGGATGTGATGGTGACTGAGTTTCTGCTTAGAACTGGGCTGACAGAGATGAGGAGATCTCTAAACAGAGATGTACAAAGAGAGTCAGCCATGAAAAATCAGGTAGAAAGGTCAGCGTTTCAAAGAAAAGATGACTTCTGCATTTGAGCTCAGGCACCTGGGCGGATCAGTGTTGCTGTTCACGCAGGAGTGTGGGAAGAGTGGCCAGCTGATGTAGGAGAGTGAAGAAGGACTGCCTTTCTCAAGTGTGAAGTAAGTTTTTAGCTACTTTTGAATGACTCTGGCCTTAAGATATTTGAAACTAACTTGAAGGATTAAAGTAAAATCCTGGGCATAGAAGCAATTGGTATTGGAGGAATATATTAGGCAGAACTGTATTTGTATAAAAATTTTGAGTCACCCTAAATAGAGGCTGAAGGCTAGTTGGGAGATTACTTAAGAGGAAATGTTAGGCTAAAGGTTTGTCATTCCAGTAGCAATGAGGATATAGTTCAAGATACTTTTGTTGGATGGGGTGACTTAGCATTCCTGTCTAAGGTGTAACACTGTCTCCCTATAGTGTAAACCCGTAGAGTAAGGTTGTTACTGGTTCCTTTTGTGGTCCTTTTGTCAGCACTGGGATTGATTCGTTACAACTGAAACTCTGGAAAAGACAGTTTCCCTGCTTTCCTTTAACAAGGTTTTACTGAGGATAGTGATAGGCATAAAGGGTAGAGTGATAATAAGAGATTGTCTCCTGCTCTCAGGAAGCTCACCATCTGGAAGGAAACAAAGACAAATAAATTGTCAATTAAAACATACAAGTTTAAGTGTTATCCAAGGGGTAAGAATGAGGTGAGGGGAGAGGAACTTGACCCAATCAAAGGGGGACTGGAGAAGTTAGAGAGTTCTTCCCAGGGGACTGACACCTCGTCTAAGACTCAAAGGATGAGCATGAGTCATCCATGTGACTGCAGACGTAGAAATGGATGGGTGATGGAGACGGGGTGTTCCAGGAGACAGAAAATCATCTCACAGCC